TCTCTGAATTACTGTAATACTCTCTGTTTAAGTTCAAAGTTAATGAATAAAATATCTGCTGCACTGTGCTTGTTCTTGTGTATTAACTAAAGTACAGTCAAAGTTTTATTATATAGCATGTTTCAAGATAAATATCACGAACTGCTTCACAACAAAAATGGTAGAACATCAAAACAGAAAAAGTTTAAAAGATGACTTTTTAGAGACTTTTAAAAGCAATCATCAAGTTTCATAGAAGCTCAGAGAGATCAGGGCCCACTGCTGTTCTCAGCTCAACCTTAAACCCACAGACTGCAGGTCCTGCTGCTGGAAAAACATCCACCAGTTTACTCTCATGGGGATCATCTACAGAATCTAAACTCCAAGAGCTCCAACTAAAAAACTGCAAAAGCACAAAAACTTTGAGAACAGTGTTTGGTTTTTCTTTCTTCACAACATGATGCTTGGCTTAAACCTCAGCACTTTGGGTTGCTGCCATGTGATTGGCTGATTAGATGTTTGCTAATAAAGTGGCCTCCTGTCTTAAGACATGATGAACCCTCTTGATTTATAAATGTGTTCGAAAGGTTTGGGCCTTAAAAAAAACGTAGGTGCATGTGAATGTTAAACGTCCAACCAAATAAATCGAGACTGAACTCTGGAGTAAATATCGTTGTTAATGAAGATTCATTGACCAACAGGTTCATTAACATTTCCTCCTCATGTGCAGTCACCCTGACAAGCTGAAAGCTCCAGCAGCTTTTCCTAAAGCTGAAGGTTCCTCTGACCCATGCTCACCCAGACTCTTTTGCCAAAAGGTGTAAAACCGAAACAACAACAACACGACTGAGTTTAGCAGCAGGACCAGATGCCAAAGGCCTGTGATATTTCCTCCACCTCTTTAAGCCTCTTAGTCCTGTAAGCCTGCCTGGCTGTCCGCAGAGCTACCTTGGCGCTGATCAGTGATCATTTAATCCTTTAGTGGAAAGGGTTGGGTCTCACAGGATTGTCTGCCTGCCAGCCACACATATAAACTCAGATCTTCACAGGTATGGAGGAACTTCTGTTACCGAACGTTGGGGAGGAGGTGCGCTCTGACAACAGCTCGTACGCGCCTGGAAATGCAGAGAGGACGATGGGGGACCAAATGAAGACTTTCCTCCTGAAGGGGGACCTGAGGGCGGTGACGAATTTCTTTAAGAGGAATGGGCTGCTCACGCTGTCAGTCATCTCTGTGATCACCGGCTGCACGCTAGGCTTTATATTGAGAGGAAGTCAGATGTCTACACAGGTACTGTCCACCAATGTTCCTTGTAATGTTTCATGTGTCTGAGCGAACACACAAACTCCCTGAGCGTCCCATGGACCACTGTGAGCAACTTTAGACGTGTGCACTGTGGTCACGCCAGCATCGAATCCACCCAGGTTACATGTTTATTAAAATAATCAAATTACAGTGTTTACATTTATGTGTGACTACTTTTAATTAACTGTTCATGACCTGTGCAGTATGTTAACACTATTAGAAGTAAAAATAATTTGAACTTCAATTTTGAAAACACAACTTTCCTTCTTTTTCTTTTTCTTTTTATAAAACTCTGACTTGTATTATGAGTCTGTGGTCTGGGAGACAGTCCTGCAACTCTCCGTCTGCAAAATACAGTAAATAATGACCAATGTTGGGTAATTAATTATATAGTTACTTCTTCAAAAAAGTAACTGAGTTATGCAAACAAGTTTTTTGCAGCTGTTTACCTAAAAATGCAGCCAAGGCATTTTTTAAACAAACATTTCAAACTATTTACAGAACAATCAGCTGTTCTGCATCAAATCTGATGCCACACAAATTATTTGTGTCACTCCAAAAAATAATTTCTGTCACTATGAGATGAAGGAGAACAGCATGCCATTAAACTCTCAGCTTCATATTTACATCACGTCATTATGTCGACTGGACTTCTTCTTACATACTTTCCTTCAAACATCCTGTTAAGTCACCTTCAGTGATGCTGCCAGGAGCTCACCTTTAAGCTCCTGTATTGATACGTCCAACACTTACTTACTTACTTCTCTCAGCTTTCTGCTCAGGAGCTGCCTTTAAACTCTGTTAGGATGTAAAATTTCAGCTTCTATGTTTACATTTTCCTGTGAAGCTGATAGTAATATTTAAAATAACCTAAAGCTTTGTGTTGATATTTTTATTTCAAATGTCTTTACGTTGCTTCGTGCCTCGATTTATTGTGATATATCTTTTTATATTTACATTTCAGCTTCTGTGTTGATTACTTTTTTTTGTTTGTTTGGTTGGTTTTGGGTTTTTTTTCTATTTATTTTATATATTTTTTGTGGAAATAAGTAAAAAGTATACAAAACACACAGTAGCAGAGAGGGATGGAAGAGTTACCAAATTAACAAAATACTATAACATAAAAAAAGAGGAAATAAAAAGGAAGGTAAATCGAAAAACTGAAAAAAAAAACTGCTGAACTTTTGATATTTTAATACAAAGGTTCGAGCCTTCTCCTCCACTTCTCCTAAACTCCAGTGGAGGAGTTCAAGTATCTCGGGGTCTTGTTCACGAGTGACGGGAGCTCGACAGGCGGATTGGTGCTGCAGCTGCA